GGGCAGCTTTATTTTGCACGAAATTTGATCCCCAACGGCTAGAAACGACCACAACAACATTTCAACATATAAATACATGTTGAGGACACTTTAATAAGGGTTAGAAACACCTATCCAAGTAATCTAACACAAGAGAAGAGTTTTTCATTCTTATTTTCATTTCTCTTGTAAATATTGTGTTTGTATGAGCTAAATTCTTGTAAACACCCTACCTTTGAGAGGTTTATTTATTTACTTCTTTTTAACTTTTGTGTAGGAGTTTTGGTTCTATCTTAGCCAATTCAAAAGATAGGGAGTTGTAAAGATTATCTCTTTATCCTTGAAAAAGAAAGAAAAAATTAGTGAATTTATTAGAAAATCCTTAGTAAGGAGCTATGGTAGTGGATGTAGACTTGGTTGATAAGTCGAACCACTTTAAATCCGTGTGCCAAATTTTTCTATCTTTTGCTCTCCTTACTCCCTAATTAAATTATTGTCAATCCCTTTGCACATTTTTAGTTGTTCAATTGAGGCTCTTCAAATCCTAACAATTGGAATCAGAGTTTAACTTATTAGAAGGTTTAACTACCTTGAGACAATCCTTGAAGAAGCTCTACCGATTCTCGACATAACCGACAAAGAAATAGCTTCAACCTCTGGTGCCTACTATATTGAAGATTCACAACTGGTCAACAAGTCACCCTACTTCAATGGAGCAAATTATTCCTATTGAAAGAATAGGATGATGCTAGGATGATGCTCTTCATTCAAGCCAACAATCTAGGAGCTTGGAACTCTATCATGAAAGCCTACGACATTCAAACCGGTGAGATGGACGATTGGAGTGATGGAGAGAGGAAGAAGAAGTTTCAACTCAATACTAAGGCTATGCACATTCTCTTTTGTACATTAGGCCCGGATGAATATGGAAAGTCTCCTTTTTTTCCAATTCCAAGGAGATAAGCTCCAAGTCACTCATAAATGAACCGATGAAGTGAGTGAAACCAAGATAAGTCTTATCAATAATAACTACGAGAATTTCAAGATGAAACCTAATGAAGACATTAAAGCTATGACATATAGATTTTCCATGATTGTCAACGGTCTCAAGGGATTTGGAGAAGTAATCTCTAATGAGAAACTTGTGAGGAAGATGATCTACTCTCTTCCAAAGTCTTGGCAATCAAAGAAGACGGGTAATATCAAAGCTAGAGATCTAAAGTCTCTCACTCTCGACGAGTTGTTTGGTTCTATTCTCACTCATGAGTTGATGGTGAAAAAAAAGGAAGAAGATGAGAGAAACAAAACAAGAAGAAGAATGAGGTAGGCATTGCCTTCAAGTCCACCAATGATATCTATCAAGATTCAAGTGAAGAGGTGGATGAAGACGGTGAAGAGGTGGATGAAGACGATGAAGAAGAAGAGATGGCCAATCGCTTCAAAAAGTTCAAGAGATTCATGTCTTCCAATGAAGTAAAGCATGAATCAACCGATAAGAAGGGTCCCCCGGTGAGATTAAATTATCAAAGAGCGGGGCATGTCAAGTATGAATGCCCTCTCCTAAAGAAGAAATGACCATCAAAGAAAAATGTATTTGTCGCAGCTTGGAGTGATGAAGATGACTCCAATGATGAAGATGAAGTAGCCAACCTATGCCTTATGGCCATCAAATGAGATTCAATGGTATCTTCTAACTCAAATAATTTAAATTCACATTGTTTTGATGAGTTACAAGATGTTTATAATGAGTTGTATTTAGAATTTTAGACCATGAATTCCAAATATAAGAAATTAATTTCAAAACTTAAAGTTGAAAATGATTTGATTTTGAAAATCAAAGTTGATTTTGAAAATCAAAATGAAATTTTGAAAAATGATTTAGAAATTTCAAAAATCAAAATCAATTATTTAGAAAAAGAAAAGTTTGATCTGAAAGTTAAGCTTGAGAGCTTAACAAAAGAAAAAGAATTAATTTCTAAAAAACACTCATTATGTCTAAAAATGGAAAAATGCTCACATTGCCATTTTTATGGTCATTTGGAACATACTTGTCCCGAAAAGAAAAGAAAATCTTTTAAAATTAGACAAGTATGGGTTCCTAAGGGAACAAGGGGCATTGAAACTAACGTCCAAGGATCCAAAACAATTTGAATACCAAAATCCAAATAAATGTCTCTTGTAGGTGTGTGGGAGCAATGGTGATGAAATTGAAGAAATTGAAGAAATTGAGATGCTCTAGCCACATTTGAAAAGGAATGGGTAACCTCTAAGCTTAATGCTTTTGATTTTGATTATTTGGTTGCTCATTTAGTTTTAAGCATGCACGAGTTTTGATTTTAAATGATTATGCATTGTTTTTAATCTCATGTATGTTGAAAAGTGCTTTATGATGAGCATTTTAAATTTTTAATGATTTTTCATAATTTTTAGTTCATCATAATGAATTTTGGTTAAAATTGATTTTCAATGCAAATGATATATGTCTAACAATTGATATCAACTTTTCAAATACTTTGATTTTACAAATTTTAAATTTTTGACCTAAATTTAAATGTTTATGCATGTGTTTTAAATGTTAAAGATATCTCTCTAACAATTTATATTAAATTCTTCAAATGCATAACATTTTTTAAAGCTTTATGCACATGTACTTAATTTCAATTATTGGTATTGCATAAAGTATTTTAGACTTAGATATATTGAATTTCATATGCTACTAACATGTTTGTTACTCTTTATTGAAATTCAATTTTATTTAAGTGTCAAGATTTTAAAGCTAATTTTTGTTTGTAATGCAATTTTTGAGGGGGAGCTTTTGATTTTTCAAATGATTTTATGATAAAATTTAACACTTACTCTCCAAAGTTATTTTAGAACTTTAAAGTTGAATTATTTTTGATATAACAAAAAGGGGGAGGAGTATGAGTTTAAAAAATCAATTTCTTAATGAAAAAGAGGGAGCTGAACATTTTCATATATTTTCTAAACAATTGATATCTTTTTCATTAAATATTTTACTAAGGGGGAGTTTTGCCAAAAACAATTTTTCAAATGTTTTGTTGTATCAAAAAGGGGGAGATTGTTGAACTATATTTTGATATAACAATTAAGGCAAAATGTTTCTGGACTTGAATTGAATTTATTCAAAGTTTTTCAAAGTTCTCAAAAATAATTCAAAGTCCATTTATAAGTGGAATTGAACACAAAATGGTTTTCTGGACAAGTAGTATTGATACTGTTCTTACAGTATCGATACCTCATGAATAGTATCGATACTATTCACATGGTACCGATACCAAAGGTAAGGGAAGTATCGATACTCATTAAGTAGTATCGATACTACCAGCATTGCTCAAATTCCATAATGCAAAAATGGTACTGATACCTAAAGGTGTACCGATACTACTCTACATTTGAAGAGGCGATACCATGAGCATAGTATCCATACCATCAGGCCCAATGGCTGGTAACGGCTAGTTGATTTAAATATAACAAAGGTAGTAGCGATACTCCCTTTAGGAGTACTGATACCCTTTGTTCTGGGTAGCTTTATTTTGCACGAAATTTGATCCCCAACGGCTCCAAAACACTCCCAACGGCTAGAAACGGCCACAACAACATTCCAACATATAAATACATGTTGAGGACACTTGAAGAAGGGTTAGAAACGCCTATCCAAGCAATCTAACACAAGAGAAGAATTTTTCATTCTTATTTTCATTTCTCTTGTAAATATTGTGTTTGTGTGAGCTAAATTCTTGTAAACACCCTAAATTTGATAGGTTTATTTGTTTACTTCTTTTTACCTTTAGTAAAGGGGTTTTGGTTCTATCTTAGCCAATTCAAAAGATAGGGAGTTGTAAATTTTATTTCTTTATCCTTGGAAAAGAAAGAACAAATTAGTGAATTTGTTAAAAAATCCTTAGTGAGGAGCTAAGGTAGTGGATGTAGACTTGGTTGATAAGTCGAACCACTTTAAATCATTGTGCCAAATTTTTCTATCTTTTGCTCTCCTTACTCTCTAATTAAATTATTGTCAATTAACCCCATTTGCACATTTTCGATTGTTTAATTGAACCTCTTCAAATCTTAACATCAAATCAAATAATTAACCGGTTATGTTATTGTCGGATTTCTAAGGCTCCATCAGCTTAGACTTTGGTAACATTTTAGCCTTTACCTAATATGTTGATAATACTCATAACAAATTAAGTAATTAACCTATTTTGTTATCGTCGGATTTCTAAGGCCCCGTCATCTTTAAAAAGGTGCTACCTATTACGTTACATAAGCGCTACCTAATATGTTATTATGGTTGATAACAAATCAAGTAATTAACCGGTTATGTTATCGTCGGATTTCTAAGGCTCCATCAGCTTAAACTTTGGTAACATTTTAGGCGTTACCTAGTATGTTGATAATACTGATAACAAATTAAGTAATTAACATGTTTTGTTATCGTCAGATTTCTAAGGCCCCATCAGCTTTAAAAAAGCGCTACCAATTACGTTACATAAGCGCTACCTAATATGTTATTATTTTTTTATAATGTTTCTAATAATTAATCGATTATGTTAAAGTCAATATTTTTTGACGCATTTTACATACGACGATAACATTCCCGGTTATTACCATTATTATTACCAACACAAATAATATTTCCGGTGAAATCATATAACATTTCCGATATCAATTTTAACCGGTCACTTATTTAATCAATCACACTATTTTTTAGCTGTATTTTAACCGCCTCACAGCAGAACTTTCCCATTTGTTCACCTTGCCATTAACTAGGAAAACTTCACCGTGGAACACCACGTGTCAAAGATGAAGACGTTTATCTCACATTGGATTAAACTAATAAAAATACTTCTCCAAATGTCGACATTTTTGCCTTTCTTGTTACATTTTCGCCAAAATAAATACGAATAAAGGATAAACACAAACTGTACAATGAAAGCACTGAGAAGCTTGCTTTTAGAGACTATATATAAACTGTGACTCTGATGACAAAACAAAAATAAAATGTTATTTTCTATGTTTTCTGCAATAACCTCTTGTTCATTTTTCGGAACAGACTGAAATTATTGAGGGTAGATGACAGTAGGCAGTTTCTCTTGCAGGCTCATATTCTCTGACAAGACAGCAGCCTGCTTTGTTTTGTTTTGAATCAGTTGTTTTGGTCTTGTATATATCCATAACCCGTTTCCATTTCGTTTAGCAAACAACATGGCTGGTGGTGGAAGAGTTAAGGGACTTTCCAGTTCATGTATTCTTCTTATAGGTAAATATTTATTATCCGTTAATATTGCATGCATGTTTGGATGATTAGATATACGTTTTCTATAACCATTATTTTAAGCAAATATTTTAAGATTTGGTTTTGTATAGTGATTGCTGGAATGGAGAGGTTTGCATTCAAAGGAGTGGCATCAAATTTGGTGTCCTATCTCACAGATACAGTGAAAATGAGCAATTCTTCAGCAGCCAAGACAGTTAACAGTTGGTGTGGATTCACTTCAATGCTACCTCTGTTAGTGGCACCCTTGGCTGACTTGTATTGGGATAGGTATTCAACCATTTTGACCTCATCTTTCCTCTATGTTTTGGTGAGTTTCTTTTCTTCTTCATTCTAGGGTTCCCATGTCATGGAATTTTCATTTTTTAGTCCTCTGATCAGTTTATTCGCGGACCATATTTGTTTAGGGAAAATGGCTTTAATATCATGTTTAAAAAAAATCCCCAAATATTCCACTTCATCGAGTATTTCCCATACTAAGATATTTGCTACAGTAACTTTAGAAGACTCTAAGATTGTTACGCATCTTTATCACCATCAACTTCTTTTTCTACAAAACTGAAGATACCAAAAAAATAAATCGCATGATAATTTCATCGTCTTCCTTCTTCCTTTTAATACTGTAGTAATGACTCTAATTCAGAAAATAATATGATAGCTGTTTTATCTAGAGAAATATTTTTTCCCACTTCTCTCTATGGCGAGGAAGCCTATTTGTTTCTTATCATCAAATGGGACCAATGGGATACCAATCTCATAGCACTAAAGATGTTGGACCCTGACTCATCACAACATTCCATTTTTCCAAAGTATTTTAACCTTTTTTTTTCTTAAGTAAAAAATTCCCTCTTTTAAAGAGAAATATTTGAGACCTTTCCGGAAAGTGGTTGAACCTGGTTAGTGGACACTCGGTACATAGTTACTAGATAGGCACAATTGAAATATACATTTTATATATTAATAGGTAAAATATACAAATGATCCCTCAACTATAAGATGTTGCTTTAATAAATACTTAAACTACTCAAAGTTATAAAATGATCATCAAGTACAGAGTGTTATTATATTGAGTCACCCGACTATTAAAAATTACAAATAATTATCTGACTATTCATATGGTTGAAACTTATCTTTTTCTATTAAATAATTGACGACCTTTGAGTTAAATGTTTACGTATTGGTTGAGACATGATAATATAATATTTTAATGATTTTTACTAGCATTGTCATTGTTTTTAAAAACTAACTCGATGACATAATGTTTCAAACATCGACTCAATGTCATAATATAAACAAAGAGTCGGAGAATATTTTGAATAATCAAGTGACAATTTTGTAAATTTTAATAGTCGGAGGACTTAACAAAATAACACCCTATAATCAAAGACCATTTGTGTACTTTACCCCTTAATATAATTATGATACCCGATATTTCTGTAAATTTTGATATATTAATAATTATTGTTATAAGATTGTCATATTTGTGTATCCATATTACGTTCATGTATGAACTTTACGTGCCGTATAATAGTTGTTTTAGTTTATGTACTATTTTATTTTCTTTTATTTTTTGAATTTAAGGGTCTTGGAGCGGTGGCATCGACAGCAATGATATGGAGATGGTCACCACCAAGCAACAAAAGCTCCCCATCATTCCTATTTTGGTCTCTGTGTTTGATTTCACTAGGCCAAGGTGCATATAACCCATCTCTGCAAGCCTTTGGAGCTGATCAACTAGACCATGATGAAGAACTACCCTCCAGCAAAGATGACCAAACCTCAAACAAAAAGAGTATGTTCTTTCAATGGTGGTATTTTGGTGTTTGTAGTGGGAGTCTCTTGGGTGTAATACTTATGTCCTACATCCAAGACACCTTTGGTTGGGTCCTTGGATTTGCCATCCCCATGATTGCAATGCTTACATCAGTTGCAATTTTCACATGTGGTAGCCGAATCCATGCGTATAAGCCAGATAAAACAATCGACGGTAAGCCCCTTCGGAACATACTTCAGGCAATCAAAGTGACAGCATCAAAGCTTGTCAATGGCAGAATCAGAGTCAGCTTACCAGATGAAGAGCCTGATACAGTGGAGCTTGAGTAAGTTACTCGTGTTGGGATTTTGAGAAGCTTTCGGATTCCGTGATTTCCCATGAGTTTCTGATATCATTGTTTCTTGTTTTATTGGCTTCAAGAGAAACCTCTCTGTGATCAAAAGTTTGGCAGCAACGGTGGTTTCGACGGCAACCCGAGAAATGATACTTACCTGCTTGAAAATGCAAAAGTAGTACTCAGGCTTTTGCCGATATGGGTAATGCTTCTTATGTTTGCTGTAATTTTCCAACAACCTGCGACATTTTTTACAAAACAAGGCATGACAATGAAAAGGAATATGGGTAGGAACTTCAAGATCCCACCAGCAACACTACAAAGTGCAATTACATTGTCTATAATTCTAATGATGCCTTTATACGAAAATGTTTTAATCCCAATCACCCAGATTTTTACTCGAAATAGAAAAGGCATTACTGTATTGCAGAGGATGGGAGTCGGCATGTTTCTTTCCATCATTGCTATGATCATAGCTGCAGTTGTCGAAACCAAGAGGCTCGAGATCAGCAGGAAGATGAGTTCCCTACAATCAGAAACAGTAACACTAAGCATCTTTTGGTTGCTTCCTCAATATGTTATTCTAGGAATTTCAGATATTTTCACAGTAGTTGGGATGCAAGAGTTCTTCTACAATGAAGTACCTGTTAGGATGCAAACAATGGGGTTCGCCCTTTACACCAGTGTTTTCGGGCTTGGAAGTTTCCTGAGCGCCTTGATGATTTCAGTCATCGAAGCCTTCACAGGCTCAGAAGGAAGACAAAGTTGGTTCTCTAATGACATGAGAGAAGACGGACTCGACAAATACTACTGGCTTTTAGCATTAACAAGTGCATTAAGTTTACTATTCTATGCAATTTTCTGCACGTTTTATACAACTAGAAGTGAACTCGAAAATGGAAACTGTAAATAAGCTTTTCTCTATTTGATCTGTTTGATACAATTTTGCTGCAATGGTTTCTGTTGAAATAGAAATAACAGAATTTTCTTTTCTGTATACTTCTCCCACGTTATGTAATCGATCAATCATATAAATATCCCTTCAACAAAATATTGGTCGTGGTCTTTTCTGTTGGACACTTAACTGGGTTTTCTCACGCCTCATGATTTGAATATTCTACGTTTACACAAGGCATGCTAGATACAACTAGTTAACTATGCATGCTATTCGGATTCTTTATTTTCCCTAAAATATTCATATGCAATACTCTTGTTTCGATACATATTAGAGTGCGGGTATGGACTAAGGAGTATGATTCTCTAAAAACATACAGGTGTTCGATGCATACCTATATCCGACATTCACCTGATTCCGGATAACCTATACAAAGAGACAAATCCCACTTGATTTATTACTTCTCAAAAGACCTTTAAATGCCTACTGTAGTCTACAAATATGCAGGAAGGAACGAATGCAACTTAAAGGGTCCTTCATAAGCCTAGGATGCATTTATAAGTAATCTCGGTCGAACATCGGCAGTGACTGAAGTTTTCCAATTTTTTTCATATATAGGCAATCACTCAATGCAATTTTTAAACTCGAAAACTACAATAACATACAAGAATCAGAACCAGATAGAACACGGAATGGAACATATCTTGTTAAACAAAACAACACAAAACAGATATCAATTCGATTTATGAGAAGTCAATCGTCCATTATTTACTAATATCATTACAAAAGAATAAACTATAATGCTTTCCGTCCAGCTTGTGTAATGAAACCACTAAATGTTTTACCTCAAATATGTGAACCATGGTCGTTAACACTCAGTTCCGCTGTAGCTGGCTTCTCTTCTACCCAATCATCCTGTTCCTTAATCCCACTATCGAGATCATCATCGGAATCCAAAGTGAAACTCCCCACGTTGTTATCCATCGGCTGCATTTCTTCCCCCAATGGCCTGTACCGCAAACCATCCCCCGAGGCACCAACAGCAACACCATTTCTTTTGCTGATAACCGATAACATCCAAACAACCAGAACCACAAGCAAAGCAAGATGGCAATTAAATTGCAATGTCGCAATAGCCCTTGCTCTATGATACTCAGGATGACCTTTGCATTTAATAGTATAATTCCCTCTACTTTTTTCATGAAGATTACATCCATTAACAATCAAGTTAGTGTAAAATGAAAACCCCATTTGCACAAGCCAGGTCCCTTGTAAAATCAACCCAATGGCTCGTACCGATTTCGAGTAAATCGACCTGTTTGATCTCAGTTCTAGCATTGTGGAAACCACACATATTGCTATGGGAACACATAAAAGATCAAAGTATCTATTCTCAATCCCACTCGTATCCTTTCTTTGCAAGTAATAAAACAAAAACTCTTCAACAAAAGCTAAAAGCAAAACAAGTTCAATAATAGAATCAGGCCAAAAACATGAACCTTTCTTATTGTTTAAAAGACCCAGAGCAGAGTAAAGCAAGAAAAGCAGCGCAAGAGAGAGTACTTGTAATTGGAGCACCGAACCGACCCGATCCTTTGAACTGAAAGCATCAAAGATTGAAACCACAGAATTCAAGAAGATCAAAAGGGAAAAGATCGATACAAGGATGAAAGATGAAGAGGAGGAAAATTGGTTTTCTTGAGTTTTTGAAATAGAGGTAGAATTGATCTGGATTGCAAGTGAAGAAGATGGAGAGGGATTCGGGTATCGGGTTGGGTTTAAGGAGCTGATGAATTCCCAGAAGCCGATCAAGACGAAACCAACGCCGGCAAAACCGTAGGAGAAAAAACCCATCCTATTTTTTTGTACAAAGTTGAAACTTGGAAAGCCTTCAACTCTTTTTTGTGTTATATTTTTCTCCTTTTATGAATCTTTGCCGAATGCTAGCCAGGAAAATCAGACTAGAAAATTGGAATAAAGGCAAACAATCTCTCGTTGCTGATCCGATGTCTAACTCTGACTTCTCATGTTTGAATTCTTTATTCAATTGTTTCTTGGAAGCTTCACCGGACAGCAGTGTTGAAAAAAAGCCCATTTTTTCTTGAATTATGCCTTTTCTTTTGGGCCAATAAGGGCTGATTTAAATAAGAATTTATTTTTGCTATTAGCTCAGTTGTTAGAGCACAATACTCTTATCCTTAGGGTTATGGGATCGAGTTCTACGGAGGACATTTCATAATTCGGAGATCTCCTACAGAAATTGCTCTCAACCTGACGTTGGGTGCAACCTACTATCCTACCTCCCCTTACCCCATTACATATGGGAATAAGGGTCAGCTAATTTTACTTATAGAATTTAACGGTGTTTTAACCCAAAAAAACTCTAAAATTCTAATATTCCCAATCTAACATTCATTCATTAATATTTCTTGATCTAACACCCTTTCTAACAGTGTGGAGCGAAGGCATGTTTCTGGGAGTGGGCCTTCTAGAGGTTTGTTGATGTGGAGGGAAGATGCGTTCCAGGGAGCGCCTTTCAAGGATTTTAGTTGATGTGGAAACATCTTCTAAATACACGTTTAGAATACGCTTTTTCACTGGTTCGAGTTTTGATCTAATGTTTTTAGGTATTTTAGGGTTTAAAGTTTAGGGTATAATGATTTTTAGGGTTTTAGGAATTTTAGGATTAAGGGTTTGTGTTTAGGTTTAGGAATGGTTTAGGGCAATTTTTAATATATTTTAGGTTGAAGTGGATTAAGGTTTTTAGGTTAAAATTGTTTAAGGGTTTTTAGGTTAAAGTGATTTAGGGTTTTTTAGGGTTTAGGGTATTTTATTCTTAAGTGATGAAGTGGTATAGGGATTAAGGTTTAGCATTTAGGGTTAATATATTTTAGGTTAAAGTGTTTTAGAATTTTTTTAGGTTAAATTTGTTTAGAGTTGTTTAGGTTAAAGTAGTTAAGGGTTTTTTAGGTTAAAGTGGTTTGGGGTTTATTTTTTAAAAAATAAATGTTAATCACATGAAGTAAATTCTAGAAAATAAAATTGCATACATTAAAATAGTAGAAAATACAATAGCATAAATTGTTAAGTGATGATAAAAGAGATAGACAATTTTCCCTATTGTGGCATAGGTTTTGGGTTTAGGGTATATATGGTTTAAGGTTTGAGGGGTGATTGATTAGTTTTGAGGTTATAGTGGTTTATGGGTTTTTAAGATTTTTAGATTTTTTAATTGGTTTAAGGTTAGATTAAAATGAAATGTTAATCACATAAACTAAGACCTAAACCCAAAAAAATGGAAAATACACATACATTGAAAAATATTTAAAAAATACAATTACATTGAAATATTAGAAACAAACACATACATTGAAATATTAGAAAATAAGATTACATTGAAATATTAGAAAAGAACATACATTGAAATATTAGAAAAGCACATACATAGAAAATACAATTACATAAGTAAGGGTTAATGGTTAAGTGATGATAAAAGATATGGATAATTTTTTCTATTGTGGCCTAGGTTTCTACAATGCCCACATCTTTTATGTTCTCTTGAGCTCTCTCGAATATCCATATCACAATAAATTTGAGTGGATTTTGGACGACTTGAATCCCTCAATAGCAACAGATCTGGTATAATTGTAAGCCTAGTCTGAATCTCATCTAGGTCTTTTTCATTATCTATGAGGGGAAACTCAAATTCATATACCTTGAATACTTTTGAAAGTCGATATACGGGATCAACATAACTTTTGTAGTCCAAATGAGAATGTGAGCAAGTTGCTATGACATGAGAGTATGGATATTTGAGTTCTTGAAATGAAACCACAATCACACTGCCTTTCTTGCAGATTAACTCTGAATGAGTTAGTTTCAATCCCTTGAAGAGCTCGTGGCATTTCTATAACACGGAATAATTCACATGTGTGAGAAAAATTCGTTCCAACATCCCATTTGATGCTGCAACATTTTCTGTAGATCTGTTACTAATCTTGGGTGATAAATATGGTCGTTCTGCATCCAAGTAAGAGCTTGTCCCCCGAGCTTTGTAAAAAGTTGACCCTAACAAAAATAAGTCATTTTGACCAACGCTGTGACTGGTAAATGACGTGCCCCCTTTAAGGTTGAATTGATAGCTTCAACCAAGTTAGTGGTTATATGACCATATCGATACCCCCATCATAAGCATTTATCCACATTTCTTTGTTGATGTCCATAATGTACTCATACTCTTTCTTGTTTTTGCCTAACTATTCTTGTAGCATAGACTCAAACCTTTAAGGTAAGTGTTCATAACCTAAGCCATAAGCCATATGTAATAGTTAGTGTGAAGTAGAAATAATTAAAATGAAAATGATTGAGAAAAGAAATTGAAAAAAATTAACATACCTATGTGCATGACTGATTGACGTTCATCGTTCTTCTTGTTTTTCTATAGTAGTTTGTAGCAATATGTCAAACGCAATAACGATGTGAAATGATGAAAATTCATTCCCTTGTGACAACATGTTACCGTAATTGTTTTAGGAAAAAAAAGCCTAGGACTCAATATCTTCTCCTTTAACGAGGGCAAACACAACCAGAAGAATATTACAGTTACTATCTTGGACAACAACCAGTAATAAAACCTGCTTGTATTTTCTATACAAGAAAATACCATCAATTTAGACTACCAGTTTGTAGTATTTCACCGTATTAATGCACTGAGGGTAAGTCTAAAAAATATGGTAGAATTGACATCGATCTCAAACCACTATATCATTCACGTATGCATGTTGAGTTTCAAACTCAACTATTGTCTTGGGTTTCAGTCTTTGCATAACTTGAAACCAACTGGTAGCTCGTTGTAAGAGAAATCCCACTCCCATGAACTTTGACAATGACATTTTGTTTTGTCATCCATTCTTTTTTTAGGAGAAAATGTACTCATATTGTGATTGTATAGTAAGAAAAAACAACTACAAGCAGAGTCCTTTTCTAACTTTTATTCATTTGAAAGATCTCTCTCATATGTGGGATTAAACTTAAAACAGTCTGAAACACTGCTGGACAATGACTGTATAATGAGGCCCATATACATATATGGCCGACAGGTGTATGATAGACACTAAAATCAGAAGAATTGTAGGCAAATTTTCTTGATTTCCGGGGGACAAACTCGCCTGATAAGTGTTGTTATTGCAAGTTTAATCAAGAGCATAGACAATAAACGAGTGCACAATTATTGACATCTGGTTTCTGTGTCTATTCATTCATATCTGATTCATTTCATACGTTAGAAGAAAATTAAACATCGTTCATTTATTTTCATTCATTAAGCTAAATAAATGATATGGATAAAAAAATTATGTTCATTTAATAAACAAATAAAAATGAAAAAGACATATGTCTAATTCATTTATGTTCACGAATTCGTTTATGAGCTCTTTTATAAGTTTGTTTATCTATTCTTTCATTTATGTTCATGAACAAGCTCGTTTATCCGGTTATCTTTTTTCCTTTTATTTTTTTTTTACATTTTAATATTGATGAAGTTAGAGACTAATTGAACACATGATAAAAGTTTGGAATTTAAATTGTGGATTTTAAGGAGTTTAAACTAGTAGTGTAATTTTATCATTTTTCTAAACCTAAAAATTGAATATCTAAACCAATGATAAACGAATAATAAACAAACACTTAATGAATATGTTCGTGAACTCTAAATGAACGAGTTCGTGAATATATAAGTGAAGACATTCGCGAACAATAAATAAACAAATACAAATACCTTCAAAAATAAATAAAATAGCATGAACACAATATTAAAAATTTAAACGAACTAAACATGAACACCTTAAACAATAAATAAATAAACACGAACATAACCTTATTCATTCTAACTCATTTCATTTACGCATCACCCAAATTAAAATATTTTTATCACAAACTAAAAGAAGAAGAAAAACTGGATAATCATCGAGTAAAAAAACCAAAGAACAAGAACCAGCCGCAATGAAGAACAAGAAAAAAGAGTTTAATATGTATAAATTTGAGTTTGAATTGATAATCGATACAAACAAGGACAAAGTATACATATTTTCAAAAGATCTTCAAAAACCCTCGAAAGAATTCAGTCAAAAGAAACCAAATTTAATCCAAAAAAAGAAAAAGAAAAAACTCAGTTTACAGCATCACACCTACGCCTAATATCTCCTCTCCTCCCAGTTTTGATCCTGTAAACACTAAGCTTCTGCATTGCTCTAGCAAAATCACGAAAGAACCTGTTTTGATCCTAAGCATACAAATCAACAAAAGGCTTTATTCTAGGATCATTATACAACGCATGATCTGATTCCAAAAGCCCCAAACCCTTTGGCAGGTTCTGGTAATACAAGTTATCGAACTTGTTGGGACTCATAATATCATTAAAAGCAGATGAAGTTGGGTTCTTTGGATAACCTGAACATGCTTGTTTCAATGCTTGAGCAAACCTCGGATTGTAATGTGTATCGTTGGCTATATTTGAGCTGAACTCTATGCAATGTGAGAACCCAATCGTGTGTTCTCCACTCAAGGCCACCGTTTCTTGAACATTGAACCCACTGGCTGCGAAAAGATCGATGATCTGTGACATTTTCATGTTGGGTTTAGGTAGTTTCCCTTCTATTGATGAAGCTTGGGAAGATCTGGAATCTTTCTTGCCGAGGAAGACGTTATAGTATGGGCCGCCGAGCATGACGAAGAGGTCACGTGCGGCTACGGCGAGGATGTCGGAGCAAGAGACTGTGTTGGGACATGAGAGTCCAAGGGTTGTCTTGGCTCGGACAATGAGGTCGAAAGGATCTCCGGGGAGAGACAAGTTGACGTCGGCGTCACGTTCGGCTTTGTTGAAGGGAGTGGAAGAGATGA